CCCACCCCCGCCCCCAGCTCTGATTTCTTCTCCCGAGCGAGCTCGGCAGGAGACACAGGCGCTGGCTGCCCCGTCCGCTCTCCGCCTCCGCCGCGCCCTCCTCGCCCGAGATGGGCCCCCCCACCGCCGCCAGAGCCATCGTCTCCAGGCCGCCGCCGCCGTCGCCGCGCTCGCCCTGAAGCCCGGGTCCCGGCGCCCACCGGCTGGCCCCGCAGCCTCGCCCCCTGCCCGCACCGGCCGGCAGTAGAGCGGTCACGATGCTGCCGCCGGTGCCCTCCCGCCTTGGGCTGCTGCTGCTGCTGCTCCTGTGTCCGGCGCACGTCGGCGGACTGTGGTGGTGAGTGCTGCATCGGGCTGTCCCGGTGCGGCTCCGGGCGCTGGAGGGTGGGGACCTCGCGACGGATTGCTCCGAACCGCAGTCCCGCTGCCTCCCGGCTCTACCTGCGCTCAAGGGAGGTGCGGGGGAGGTGCGTACCGCTCTCCTGCGGTCCTCCGCCAGGGGCACTGTTGAACTGCCACTTGGGCGGCTCTAAACCTACCCTCACCCCCGCACATTCTACTGTATTTCCTCCTCCCGGGTCCTACACACCACCTCCTCCCAGGTTATGCGCTCTATCCAGGCCATGAAGGAATTGGCGGGTGGGTAGGAAAGAGCTACGCGGGAGACAGGGGGAAAGTTCTGTAGTCAGAGATGCAAAGAAAAGAGTGTGCAAGGAGGGCTGGATTGGGGGAAAAGAGAGGAACAAGGTGGGAAACCACAGGCAGGTCAAGTCAAACGGCTGCCTCTTCCCCGCCCCACTTTGCCCCCCAATCCACCAGCTTCTCTCTGGGCTCCTTCAGAGTGGGCGGTAGTGGAGGGAAAGGGATGGAAGGGGGAAACTGAGTCAGGACCTTGGCTTTCTCTATTTCCTCCTCCCTGAGCAACGAAGAGGAGGAAAGGCAGGAGAGGGGCCCAGGCACCTGGGCCTTCCAGATGCGGCGTCAAAGATAAAGTAAATGTGCAGCTCGGGAGGTACTGGGAACCTGGGAGAGTGCTGGTGAAAGGGAGGGAGGCCTGGCCAGCCAAGGGATGAGGATGTCTTTCCGGAACTGGCCCTAGCTAGAGCAGACACCAAGGCAGCGAAGGTTGTAGGAACGTTGAGTTTGGGGGGCTGGGCAGGGGCTGAGAAGGTGGGTGCCGAGTCGGGACCGCTGGGGTATCTGGATCCCGCAGACTTTTTTTCCTTTCCAGTCTCCTGGGCAGCAAAGACCCGCCCGGAATAGTTCAGTGTTCAGAGAGGAGGGATTTGGACAATACCGCTGCTGCAGCAGCCAATCCTAAGAAGACAGGGCCTTGCTATTTGCATATCGCCATGTCATTGGCTGGATTCTCTACACTCCACTCCTCCCCTTTGGAAGGAGGGGTGGAGCCGGCAGATAGATCCTTCTCTTCTAGAGAGAAAAAGAGCAGGATGCCCACACAGGGAGCTGCTGGCCGAGATCCCTCTTCCGTGATGAGGAAGAGACGTCCCTTGAGGGTGTCAGTGAGGGGGCAAATCGAGGACGACCCAGGTCCCGGCTAGGGAACATGCGCCCTTTGATCCCGGCTTAGCATAATGCAGTAGCAGCTTTGAAATAGACTTGAGATCTAATCTTGGCCACTTGTTAAGTCTGTGACCTTGGGCAAGTCACTTCTTACTGCCCCCCAACGTCTCAACTGTAAAGTAGTCAAACAGCCCCCCTACCTGGCAGGCTGATTGGAGGAGTAGGTGGGATGATTTACAAAACGATCTGACATTGGGAAGTACTCCATGAATGTAAGTCCCCTCCTCCGTCCCCAGGTTCTCCTGGCCAGAGACCTCATGGGTGCAAAGGGGGATTCATTTAAATTTAAAATCCAGGGTCTCAAGCAAAATACACTTTTCCTAACTTTGCCCTTTCTCATGGGGACAGTGGTCTCTCCCTGATGGTCATTGCCTTCCCTCTCCTCCCTCTCCATTTGTCCAAATCATCCTCATCCTTCCAGTTAAAATGACACTTCCTCCATGGAGCTGTCCCTCTGTCTTCCCTCCTTTGCCTTCTCTGAGCTTCCGATGCAGCCCATGCATTGGGCAGCTCTGCCGGTTACTGCATTTCACTGATAACCATCTCCTCTTGGGTCTTTCTTCCCTGCTCCTGGAAGGCAGAGCCTTGGTCTTTGGGGCCCTGGAGGCTAAAGGTGCTGGGGACAGTTCTGTGGAGTGTTGCTGAATTTGTTGTTTCACCTTTCTGGGGTTTGTATCTGTGTGTGTGTGTGTGTGTGTGTGTGTGTGTGTGTGTGTGTGTGCGCGCGCGCGCGCGCGTGTGCGTGTGCATGCGTGCGTGTGTGTGTGTCTGTGTGTGTGTGTGTCTGTGTGGAGGGGGGGTATTCCTTTGTTCAGGAGGGGCTGCTGGGTGAGAGCCAAACCAGAGGGAGGGAGACCTGGTCCAGTGGAGACTGACCCTGAAGCTGGGAAGCAGGGAGGAGGGGAGGAGGGGAGGAGGGCAGGTGTGGGAGAACACAGAGGCCTTCATGGTCACAGCTGCAGGGTGAGCAGGGTGAAGAGTGAGTGGCTGGGTTGATAAGGTGTCTGCAGACTGCCTGGTTCAGATGCTTCTTGGAGAAAACCTGCCTCTCCCACCTGCCTCGGCCCCCTCACTCTCCTTTCTCTGTTTCTGATACTTCATTCCTTTGGCCTGAGCCCACATTCCCTTTCTCAGGAACTTTGATTCTGCTTGCTTATACCTCTGTCCCCACCACACCCCATCGTTACCCTCCAAGATTAGGTTTGGGCTGGCGGGCCAGACCTAACATCCCAGGTGGCCTGAGGCGCCTGCCACTCGGTCCCACTCTCCCGTTCCCCGCCCCCCCTCCCATCACTCCACCACCCACCTCTCTTCCCCTCCCCGCTTCACACTAGAAGCTTTTTCAGGCCAGGAACTTCCAGGCTGTTCCCTGATGTCTAGGATCTGCTTGCTGGCCCTCTTCCCTGCTTCTCAGAGAATGCTGGCTGGGTCAGAGCTCCAGTGGTGAACAGGAAAGCAGCAAGACCTGCAGCAGCTCACTGCAGTCTACCCTGACATTCTGGCAGCAGCCAGACTGGGAGCAGAGAGGACCCCAGGAACTCTGAGTGACAGGACTGTCCTGGTAGGAAAGGAGGGTCCTGGAGGGGAGTGGCCCAGGCTCTGGAATAGTCTCAGGAGTCCCTTTCACTCATTTCCCACCCTCCCTTCTTCCCCTGTTACGATTTATGCTTTCTAAACTCTGCCTCCAGCCTCTCTTTCTCCCATCTGTAATCCTATCTTTGTGAATCGCAGAATTCCAGATTCCAGGACACTGGCCAGGCAGTCTTGAGTCCATCTTGTCTAGCCCACTGCCTCCAGGCCATCTAGTCTATGCTTTGGCTGGGACAGATCCCATTTTGAGAATGAGGCAGAAAGGGAAAGTCTGTGGCTTCCTGGTCACCAGCTCCCACCCCTTCTACCAGCTCCCTGTCCTCCTCTAGGAAGTTCTTCTCAATATCTGAGCCATCTTTATTTATCCCTTCAATTACTGGATGGAGAAAATAGCTCACGCTCACGGAATAGCCGAATCAATCTCCCTTCTTCTCTTTTCCTCTTCTCTCCTTCTGTTTTATATTTTCTATGAAGGAAACTAACCCTCCCCTTGCTCCACTGGGGAAAACACCACCCAGTCTCACTCTCTTCCCCCATCTCATTTTGACTTTCACCCCCACCTTCCCTTAGAAACAGGAACCAGAGGTCTAGGACAGCCTCATCTCTGGCCCCACAGGGAGGCAGGGAAATGACCAGACTTCTTCCTGATACCCAAGTTTTCCAGCTGTGACCCTCACCCCAGGCTGGGCCTGGCCACCCCTTCCCATCCAATTTTTATCTGAGACCCCTGACCCTTCGTGGGCAGTCCTGTTGACGGCCCTGGCCAGGCTTGGGTGGAGTGGGGATGGGGGTGGTGTGTCCGTCCAGTCCCACCCTCCAGGCCTCTGGCCTTGGCAGCTTACCCTGGTGGGAGACAATGGGGCTGTGAGCAGAAAAGGGCAAGGGCAAAAGGAGGCTGGCTTGATCTGGGCCAGAGCATGCCCTGAGCCCACCAGAGTCCTGGCACTGTGACACTTCCTGGTGGGGGTGCAGCCCCCTCCTGCCCGGTTCTCATCAGGAGCCAGGAGTTGGTGGGGGGAAGTCAGTGAGAGGTTTGATCACCAGGGCCCAGTGAGGGGGATTCCAGAATGTGTACTTTGATGGAGAAATGCAGTTGTGAAGCGGATGAATTGAGGGTGGGGCAGGCAGCCAGGCCATGGTCAGACTGGCAGCAGGGCACCCAGCCAGCCATAGCAGGAGGCACTCGGAGAACACATAAGCCTGTCCCTGGGGACTGGGGAGAGTGCCCTCTAGCTGGCACCCTACTTCCTGCCTGGAATGGGGTGGGAAGAGACCTTGGGTGCTTCCCCTGAACTGCCTGAGGACCTGAGGTGGGGAAAGCTCACTGGGAGAGTTCTCCCGTGTTCCACCTGGCCTCTCTGGCTGGTTCCTCCAGCTCTGAGCCCTCCATTTAATCCAGAAATGAGACCTAGAAAGGACTTAGAGATCATCTGGTTCAATCTTCTCACTCACAGTGAGAAGTCCAGCGAAGTCCAAGCACAGGAAGTGGCCTGGCCACACAGAATGCAGGTAGCAGAGGGCTGAGGCCAGGAGTCTACCTCCTTCTGCTGAGGATCTCACCCTGGTTGCTTTGGGGAGTGGGGTCAGGAAAGGGGTGCAGGGCCTTCCACAGGCCTCTTCTGCTCCTCCATCCCCACCCTCACGTGGGTGCTTCCCACCTCAGTATGGGACAGCAGAAGACACATGACAGAGTCCCCTCATGGGATCCAGTGGAGAGCCAATGTGTCCACTCCCTGGTCCCCCACAGCCCTGATCAATAGGAAGCCCCTTGTATGGTGAAGTCCTTTTGGGAAAGGAAAGCTCTGCCTCTCCCAAGAGAGCTGGGAAGGAGAGAAGTAAAAGGAGGTGGAAAGAGCCGTGTCCAGGACGGGGCAGAGGGAACCAAATCAGGACAGGGTGGGAGAGGGGTAAAGTGGGGTGGCTGGTGGGTGGTGGGGAGGCAGGGGTTAATGGAGCCGGGGCATCACTGGCTTTGATGTGGTGGTTGGGGTGGGGGTAGGGACTGGGGGAGGGGAGCAGTAATTACTGAGACAGAGCAGGACAGGACAGGCGGGCGGGCACAGGCCCGGGCCCAGCCGCCTCAGCAGCTGTCAGGCAACATTTTTCTGCCCCTTCTCCACCACCCACCTCCCCCACCCCCATGCAGCCCCCACCCACAGCCCCAGGGTTCAGGGCTCCCTCTGCTGGCTCCTGGGAGGTGGGGGTCAGTGAGGGACCTTGGGAGTGAGTGTGGGAATGAAATAGAGGGGAGCTGGCGGTGAGACCCTTCAAAGGAGATTGGCATCGAAAGGGTCTGTGATCCCCTTGGCCTCAGTAATCCTCAATAATAACCCAGCAGTGCTCCCTGGGGAAGGGGAGGGGTCCTGGAGGGTGCTGCTGGTCCCTAGGGAAGGAGAAGACAGATGAATCCAGGCTGAGAAGTAAGGTCAGAAAGTTGGAGAAAAGGGTGTTCTCAGGAATCCACAAAGGCTGCCTTTACTCCTGCCATTTGCCCTGCACTGTGTAGGCCGAGAGATGAATAAGGGTGTGACTAGGAAGACAAAAAACACTTGTGGAAGCCCAATCTCTGGACAGGCTGTTTCCACATGTCACCTGGGAAGTAGGCAGGTCTTACTATTTGTTCCCATTTTACAGTTGCGGAAACAGGCTCCGAAGGCTAAGCTCCTCATCATTCAACAAATACCAAGTGCAACCTCACGTGCTAGGGACTTGCTCAACATCATAGAACAAGCCAACGGCAGAGCCCAGATCCAAACACAGGTCCACTGGACCCCCAAAGCCTTGAGTGTGCTCTGCTACTGATATTATGTCTCCTCATGAGGCCTTTGTATTTAATGAGTTTTCTATCTAAATGGAGAGATAAGACAAGAAAAGCAGACAAATAATTATGCCACTGGTAGGATAACAAGCACCCCCAAATGAGTGGCAGGTGGAGTGATGTAGAGGGCAGAGGTCGGAGAGGGCTGGGGCCCAGGGGGAGCACCTTAGGGGTAAGTAGTTTCTGAGGTGAACTTAGAAAGATGCTAGGTAAGAGTTTGATGACTTCGGGTGGGGAGGGGGTGGCTCTGAGTCCAGAAAATTCAGCAGTGTAGTCTGGGATGGCTGCAGAGATATAGCCAGCCCTGCTAGGAGTAAGGGCTGTGTGGAGGATGTCATGTGAGGCCCCTGAGGTCGTCTGATACTTCTGGTGGCCATTTTCCTCTGGCCCCTTGGTTTTTAAAATATTCACTTAAATTTCTTGCAATGGGGACCCCTCTCCTGAGTGGCCAGGGTTAGTCACCTCCATTCTCAGGTTATTCATCTGTGTAATGGGGGTGAGGTTGGAGGAGCTGGACTACATTATCTCTGGCCCTCTCTTTGACCCTCTGAACCCAGGAAACGGAAAAAGGTAGGTTAGACCAGAACCCGGGGCCTCCCGGGTTTAGATCTACAGATGTTGCCAGTAGGAACTGGCTGGCCCCTGATGCCACCTCACTCAGCTATTGATTCTATCAACCAAGATCCCTGGGGGGGAGATCTTGGCACAGGCCAAGCTAGTTAGAATGGCTAACCCTAGGCTTGTCCCTTCTTGTCTGCACACTGATTTCTTTTAAGGCTAGCCTCATTGTTTCTATGCCCAGGAATGTCTATTCGTTAGGATCTCAGACCCTACATATTCTATATTATATATTTCTTACCACCACTGTGCTCCAGCCCTGAAAATGTGTAGATGTTCCCAAAAGGGCACATCTTCTCTGGTCTGATCCCAGAACAATACTGACTCAGAGGCACCAACAGCAGAGTTCATTCCCTAAGGAAGCAGGAGGGAACGAAGGAGGGTAAAGGAAGAGGAGCGATGGAAGGAGTTATTTCTTGATATGGAGTCAAGTGTTAAAGTGAGAGGGGGTACGTGAGCCTTTCATGCTAACTCCTCATTTTTCTGAAGCCCAGAGAGGGAACTGACTCTCCCAGAGTGGCTCAGCTCACCCAGAGCTGAGGGAAGGGGAGGCGTCCCTGGGGAAGGGACCTGACAATGACCAGGGGACTGAAGCTAGGCTCCGTGTTTTACCCAACATCCCCTCCCAGTCCTTTTCTGGAGTTTCCTTTCCTGTGACTTGAGGATGGGAGCAAGGACGGGAGGGCAGGGGGCAAGCTGGTCCCTTGGGATTCTGGCTGCTCCTACTGCCCATCCCTTCTCCCGATCAGCTTGTAAACAAGCCTGGTTCCCAGGCAGCCAGCCAGCCTGGGAAGCCAGACCCAGACCAGGAACCGACTCTGGGGCAGCCCTTCAACCCCAAGAAGGGCCAGCCCCACCTCCTGAAAGGGCCCTGCCCTTCATGCTCCTCCCGATTCCTCTATCTCTAGCCCCTGGGAAGCAGACAAGGTCAAGAGGTTTTTGCCTTTCTCTCCTGCATACCCCCTCCCTCTCCTGCTTTCCTAGGGCAGGAGGAGGGAGAGGAGACGGATGGGGGCAGAGTAACCTTGGGAAGATAAGGCCAGTCAACCTTGGGAAAGTAGGGAGTTAGCAGAGGGCAGGGTTGGGGAAAAGGGACTAGGGAACTTAGCAGCATAGGGTGGTGGGAGGTGAGTTTGCAGAGTCCCAGACCCCTAGGTAGAGTCCTGGGGACACGGGTGGCAGGAGAGGAACTGGACATCCTTGGGAGGTCTGCTTCCCTGCCTCTGAACCCAGTGGGGGAAATAAGATGTTTACAAAAACTAATTAGGAGCCATAAAATGACATATGGACAGGGGGGGGCTGGGCTTAAGTGAAGACATTCTCCTTAGATGGCTCATTCATTCATTCAAAAACATGTGTTAAATAGTATTCATTGTAGTATTATAGTAATTGTTCATAATGTGCAAATTTTCATTAAAATTTGCGGGGGGGGGGTATACATTAAGCACCTAAAAATCTGTTAGGGGACAAAAGAAAATGACAGTCCTAATTCTCAAGGTACTCATTGTCTCACCTACTGACCATGTACAACCATGCTGGAAGCCGCCTCAAATTCCTTTTGTAATGGGGTGGAATAAGTGGATGGAGGGGGGGATAGATAGATGATAGATGATAGATAGATAGACACATAGATAGATAGATAGATAGATAGATAGATAGACACATAGATAGATAGATAGATAGATAGATAGATAGACAGACACATAGATAGATAGATAGATAGATAGATAGATAGATAGATAGATAGATAGATAGATAGATAGATAGACAGATAGATACTGGTCAACTCTTGAAGGTCACTGGGAGCCAGCTTGCTGCTCTACCCTTGGCTCACTCCACACTGCTCTAAGGCTGGGAAAGGGTTGAGGCTGGACCTTCCCAGGCCACAGTTGGAATGCAGTGATGGGCAGGTCCTACGCACAGAGGAGGGAAGGTCTGGACTCTAAGTCTTTCCACTAAGGAGAGAATCTTAGCTCTAGGACTACTTGGGTAGGGATGATGACAATGACCTGTAGTGTGTGTGTGTGTGTGTGTGTGTGTGTGTGTGTGTGTGTGTGTGTTAGGAGGCCTTAAAGGACCCAGCTTACACATCTTCCTGCATCTCACTCCTCGGTGTTGAGAAGTTCTACCTTAAGACCTAAATTCCTCTTGCTGCTAAGCCCATTACATCTCATTGTTGTGAGGCCAGAACATGCCTGGGCAGCCTGTACTTGTGGAGCAAATGGGGACAGTGGGGGCGGGTGTACACTACAGCTAAACTGAAAGGAGGCCACCTTGACCTTTGACACCTATCTACCACCATTTTCCTCTACATTTTCTATCTCCTGGTGTCACTTCTCTCTCCCCACCCCAGAGTCTTTTTCTGCCCTCTGCTGAAGGGTTTTTGAGTGGTCTCATATTACCTTCAGCTCCCATGTGCTCAATCCACTCATTCCTACAATAAAAGAATCCCAGTTAAGCATCAAATAAGAGCAATCGGGTTGAAAGCCAGGTGTGAATTCACCCAGGTGTGAATACCCAGCTGACTTAGCCTTCAGGGGTCTGGTATATGGAAACCAAATGGTAGCTTTCTTGTCCGGTGGAATGCAGGCTGGAAATGGAGGGATTTCTGAAAGTGCGTGAACCTCCTATGAGGTCTTTACCCACCCAGCCAGTATCCCCTGTCTCCAATCAGTTATGTCACCCCAGTACCCGGGGCTTGGCTTGCTGCCATCCAGCTCTGGAAAGGCCACAGATCCTGGAGCAGGAGAAGGGTCAGTGTCACCTACTTCACAGCACTTCAGAGTCTCAGTTCCCAACTTCTTTCTCCTGCTCTCCAGTTCAGGGAAACAGGGTGGGAAGTCCCATCTTAGACATCAAAGCCCAACCTTCCCATTTTACAGAAGGAGAAACTTGGGCTAGAGAGGGGGGTGTGACTTTCCTCAGAGGCTCCAATCCCCTCCACTTCTAACATCCCATGACTGGCTATATACCTGGGATTGCCCCCTGCCTTTCTAGCATCAGGGCTGTTCAGCTAACACATACCCAGCCTGTGGCCCACTAAGACCAGATTTCTTTCTGATACTGCCTACTTTTCTTTAGTATCTATACATACTTTCTTTTCTTTGATAGCCTTCTTGATCTTCCTTCTGTTAATTTCTTCCTTGTCTCCCTTTTGGGCCAGGCCTGTTGAATTTTAGTCTTGGCCTACCTGGTGCCAGCTGCCTTCACCTTGAGTCAAATTCCTATAAAGATTTATTAATGAAGATGTGCACAGAAGGATAAGACTGAATCCTTGCTCTAGAGCAGTCTAAAATCTAGTTAAGAGGTGACACAGACATGGATGGAATGGTAAGGGAACCTGATAGGAGAATCTCAATCCCAGTTGGGGTAGGGGTGGGGGAAGGGAAAGAGGCATGTCCCAGCTCCTGACTGTGGGCTGAAAGGGATGGTCTCCCTCACACACATACACATACCCCCACCAGCCCTTTGAGTTACACCCCTGACCTGCTGTGTTTTGCTTCCCAGGGCAGTGGGCAGCCCCTTGGTCATGGACCCTACAAGCATCTGCAGGAAGGCACGGAGGCTGGCAGGGCGGCAGGCCGAGTTGTGCCAGGCAGAGCCGGAAGTGGTGGCGGAGCTGGCACGGGGTGCTCGGCTTGGGGTTCGAGAATGCCAGTTCCAGTTCCGTTTTCGCCGCTGGAACTGTTCCAGCCACAGCAAGGCCTTTGGGCGCATCCTGCAGCAGGGTTAGTGTGAGGAGGGACCAGGGGAGAGGTAGAGGTTTGGGGAGGCTGCCTGAGCCCCATCTTTCCCATGGATCTCTGGGCACCCTGTCCAGACCCTGCCTCCCAGGCCCTCCCAGCCCCCTGCCTCACTGTCTTGCCCATCACAGTCCCCCAGGACTCAGCTTTGGGGCTACCAGCTGACTGCCCTCCCTGCCTCCACAGATATCCGGGAGACGGCCTTTGTGTTTGCTATTACTGCTGCAGGCGCCAGCCACGCGGTCACGCAGGCCTGCTCCATGGGCGAGCTGCTGCAGTGTGGCTGCCAGGCGCCCAGAGGGCGAGCCCCACCACGACCCCCGGGCCTGCCAGGCACCCCTGGGCCCCCGGGCCCCACAGGCTCCCCAGATGGTAGCGCTGCCTGGGAATGGGGAGGCTGCGGTGACGACGTGGATTTCGGGGATGAGAAGTCGAGGCTCTTTATGGATGCTCGGCACAAGCGGGGACGTGGAGACATCCGTGTGTTGGTACAACTTCACAACAATGAGGCAGGACGGCTGGTGAGTATGGACAGGCATGTGTAAGTGTGTGTGTTTGTGCACGAGTGTGAAAATGTGTGAGTAGATGCATATGAGTGCCTGTGAGTGTGGAAATTGTGTGTGTGTGTGTGTGTGTGTGTGTGTGTGTAGGTGGATATGGGAGAGTGTGGTGTGTGTATAGGAGCACATTTGTGGAACTGTGTGAGGAAGTAAGGGTGGGTAGTGTAGGAGTATATTAATGTGTGGGAGCCAGCATGACTGTGGGGGGCCACTTGGGAAGATGGCTGGGGGCCTGGATGGGCAGGAGGTGAGATGGCCAGCCTAGGAGTCACTTAGGGGGCATACCTCTGAGACAGAACAGGTGGGGTAAAGCTTGTGGTAGGTAGAGATGTGGCTGCCAGGGCAGGGACAGAGGAGGGAGACAAAGGTTGGGGATGAAAGAAAGGACAGAAGCTCCGGCAAAGTTATGAGGTCTAGAGGTAGGGGAGCCAGGAGAATTGAGGGAGGGTCTGGAAAGGGGCTAGAACAGGCCCAAGAGGCAACAGGCTTGGAAAGGAGTGACGGACAAAGAGTAGATCCTGGTGGCGGTAGGAGGGGGTCAGGCAGAGGCCAGGAAAGCTGTGACTCAATCTGGGCTCTTGTCAACTGGCTGCCTAGCAACCCCAGACCAGGCCTTGCCCAGAACCCTAGCAGCCTCGCCCCTTCTCTCTGCAGTGAGGAGGGCCCCAGGAGCTTACTGTTTAGGACAAGAAAGCTGTCTGGGTCATGTGTTCCCGGG